TCGAGGGCAATTCATACGTGCAGTTTTTGGATGCATTGCTAACTGTTTTCAAGCAGACCCTCACCCTCCACAGTGTTCATCAGCCTGGAAGCTATAGCCACCCATTTAGCTATCGCTTTAGAAAGTTTGTTGCTTGTAGAATTGTCCAGGTGTCTCTGTTGCAAACTATCCAGTAGGCCTTTGGCGAGGGGGAGGAGGGCTTCTGCTTACCATCCACAATTTTTCTGCTGCATCATTTCCTGATTTCCCAAAGTAGGGGGGGGCAGTCATAATCACAGAATGTGCGTACATTAATCGCATTTCCAAAAACTCTCTGGAGTTAAAAGGAAGTTGCGAGTTCAAAGAAATTTGCATTAACTCATTTTTATTGGATTAACTTTGACAGCCCTTAAAAATACTTCACAGCAAATTTTGGGAGCCAAGTGAAAAGATGTGGTTGAAAATGAGTTGAAGGCTCATTGGTGTTGCCAATTGAGTGATCCTCTTCACTGCTCACACTGTGCAATGCACTTAAAAAACAAAGCAGTTCTTACAATTTGTCATTTTACATTTTTAAACACGTGAGAAAGCACAGTGTCATGCCTGGCACTGGTACAGTGTCTTTCACACACTCAGTTGCAGCTCAGCAGAATGGAACAGGTACACAGTCTTTATTACTGCAGCAGATACTGTAGTATGAATTGCTGTCTGCCAGGGAGGGAGAGCACCTGGGAGCTTGTTGAGCCGTAGTCTTCCCTTTAACTTTAATGCTTGTGCTGTGCATGTACATATTACATTGTATTTTATTGCCTGTGAACAGCTGTCAGTGCGTTACAAGCCTGAGCTGATCCAAATAAATAAATCACCCAACATGACCAGCTTATCAGTCAGACTGTCATGATTGGAAATGCATATTGCTTGAGCCTGCCAACAACAAAGGCTCTTCCCATGTACTGCACCGATCTGTACCCTCTAACACCAGCACTAATTTGTCTGTGTAATGAGTTGTACACAGGATGGTCAACAGGAGAGACAACAATGACAACAGAGTCCCTGCTGAATTTGCAGCTGTAGCTATGAAGGAATAAGGGCAAGAAGCTCTGGTTTAGGGGCTTAGGGGTACAATCTGGGTTATACAGTATAGGGGAAACAGAGGAAGTACCTTCAACTGATAAAGTTTGAATCATCTCTCTCTATCACTCTCTTGCATTCTCTCTCTGTCCTTCTGTCATTTTGTGATTCTCTCTGTGGTTGCTGCTCTGTAGCCTCCTGGTGGTCAGGTAAGGCGAAAGAGCAATTTGCAGAAGAAGAAAGCGGATGGTGAAATGTAATTTTAACATCCCCAAGGAGGAATCAAAGAGACAGCAGTCAATGAATAACAAATCAGAAAAGTACTAACACCGTAGTTTGAGCAGTCTTGAAATGAGTTATCATATTGACTAATGTGTTCTCAATTTGAGCATGTTTAGAAGTGGCAAGAAACTGATCTTCACTCAGAACTGTATCTATTATAGTCTTGTGATTGAATTGCATACAATACGTAGTTTCACATTAGACCAAAGCATTTCCTACAACAGAATTGTCTGTTCAGTGCAGAGCCTACCTAAAGTAACTGAGCATGACATGCAGATAAAGATGGTTTTCCATCCCCAGAGGCTTTCATTTTGTGGACACCTATGGGGCACAGCCTTAGTTCAGCAAATGAAGGGATAGATGGAATCTAAAGCTTGTAGACTTACAAGGGCACATGAGTAAACTGCCCTGCCTCGGTGCCTGTTGCCTAGTTACTGCCTACATCTATCCTGTATGATTTTTATTTTATCTCTTCTTTTTTTCACCTTTTTTTTTGGCCAGTGCAGAGAAAAGACTTGAATGAAGCTGATTACATAATCACATGCGCATGTACATGTGCACATCATGTGCCGTACATGTCTTTATGTCTCCTTCCTTGTGTTCTGACCCTCCCTTTAGGGTCTGTGTCCCCATCAGTCCCTCTCTTACACTCTCTGTATTCTCTCCTTTTTATTTTACACCTACTTCAGTGTTTTGCATCATAGTGCAAAATGTCAGGAGCAGGACTGCAGGAGCACAGCGCATGAGGCTAATGAGATTGAAATTTATGTGTTGAGACAGTTTTCTCTTAGTGTAAAAACAATGCAAGTACAGGGCAGGCTGGAAAGATTGACTTCATACAGATTCAAAAGCCACCTCACCAGTAGTGGAGCTGATCATTACATTCACATATGTTTTTGAAACTAAAGCAGTGTTAACCCTGTGAAGCTGTCACAGTTTGTGTCACTTCAATTATGGGCCCAAGTGTCACGTTCTTCTTTATTACTGTCAGTGCTCACCAACAAAGTCATCTATCTGTCAGATTTATTTATCTTTCTGTAACATTTTGTTATTCGGGCTATTTGTCCTTCACACTGTGAGCTCTTCAAAGAGTGAAGGAGGCGAATAACAGGAACAGAGCCACAGAGAACAGTATGCTAGCAGCAGTGTTGACTATGTAAAGACCCAGGGTGAAACTTGTCCAAAGCCACAAATGTATATGGATTGTAAAATAAAAGTCTCTTTAAACATTCAGCATGCCGAGCAATAAATATATTGAGCAAGTCTAATAATGTTTGTGTGTTTTTCAGAAAGAACACGGGGACAGTGTGTGCGCACTGCTGAGGCTCATTGACTGAAATGTGGCTTTTGGGTTCAAGGGAAACAGAAGAAGCCGAGTTCCCGGCTGGAATCTCACAGTAGGTTTAAGTCATAATATATTTTTTACTTAGTTTTAAGAGTGGATCATAATTACTGGAGACATTAGGTGCTGTATGTACTTGATTTTGCTTTTGATTAATGATTGGTTTACAAGCCCATTCGATTGCAATTGGTAAACTGAAGGATTTCTTCACTTTTCTTACCTTGTGTGGAACCTTTCATGCAGACTGCGTAGGACGAGTGGCGAAGAGATAAGGCTTGGAGCATCTATTGTGAATCAAAGATTAGGTGCCAGCTTTAAATTATTGCTTTTTGTTTACACAAGGATAAGGTTTACGTTAACTAACTTTCAATGGCTGAACGATCTTCACGTTATTTATTCTTGTGCCATATGAAGAAATGAATAAAGTATATATTGTGGAGTATAATACTGTTCCTCTGCTCTACTGCACTGATTTTGCATCTCTGACTTAGCATCGGTTTATCTGCATTTACATGAGGAAAAAAAAAAATAAGAAAAACATGTGAGGCGAAACAGGATCTCAGAACACAACAGAACACACTTGACAACAAAGTGAAGTGGTCCTTTTATAACAAACTGAGAGCTGTAAATAAAAGTGGGGACACTGTGATTTAACCAGCAAATATTTGACGCTGACATTTACCTATTAAAGAGAGAGAGTAAGTTGTGAGAGATGAGAAGAGCAGATTCAGAACCTGCTCTTGTATCCTCCTATGGACGGTTAACCTTTTGCTGTTCTCAACAGGTTTTGTTGAATATGTTGATGAAATTAGCCCTCATGGTTGCATTTGGGTGGTGTTTGTGCCGTGGTTGGTGAGTCAGTCATGGCTCCAGGCAGATGGTGGTCAGAGTGCTGCACAAGGTTCTCTTGATATTCATCAGGAGAGCCGACCTCCGCCGTGATGTATTCAACCATCCAACAAACCTCACTCAGAGGTCAACCCTGCATAATGAATGAACGCAGAAATTCAAAAACAAGTCAGAAGCCATTTTAAGATATCAGTTTCACCCCCTCTGTCCCCTTGTCACGGTTTAGTTGGGTAAAAACAGACATTCTGACAAAATTCGGGTTAAATGTTGGTTCAGAGAATGAACACTGGTGGTGATCGGCTAATTCAAGGTTCATTATTTGAAGGATTTGATGGAGTGGTGCAGGATCAAGTAGCACAATAAGTATTATTATAAGGAAATGCACACACACACACACACACACACACACGCCCGTCTAAAGTAAAAACTTTAAAAAATATGTGACATCACAAAGCTGCATTCAGTTTAGTTTGGTTGGCTGAGATAGAGCTTGACATCAGGAAGAAAACAGTCTGTGCTTCACACTGTAGCTGCTTAAACCTGAATACTCAATAGAAACAATAAAAGCCTAAACTTTTACTTGTTACAAGTACTTTAGCATAAAATTATAATTATATGCAACCTGTAAGATTTACTGAATTACATGATAACACTTTGTAATAGACCTTAAATTATGGTAGTTATATTAATGTATGCAACTGACTTGTTAAGCTCTGGACCCATCAATAAATTGTTGCCTGCATGTGTAGAAATGTACAGTGAATTTTTTACTTTACAATATTAATATACGCACACATTTGTTTTTATTCTTCATGAAGACTTTACATTGACTTACATTAATTTCCTGGAGACTTATTCTAATGTGGACCATAACCGCCACTAATCACAAAATTATTCTAGGCTTAAATCAAAGTGTCCTAAAATGTAATGAATTACATGGTGGGGACCGGCATTTTGTCGCCATAAGAGATGTTATCAGCCCCTACAATTTGAGTAATACCACGAGCACACACACACACACACACATACATGTATACAACAGATTTATTAAATCAGGATAAATCGCCTGAGAAATGGCCGCCTTGTTTTCAGCACACTCACTCATTCTCGTTTTCACACATGCACACAGTCACACGCAAACAGATGCAGCCCACCTGGTACACTGTATGTATGGATGTGATACCTGTGAGAATGTGTCACCACACTCTGTTCCCACTACACTGGTGGATGGATCAGTGGTCTGCCTTGTGTGTGTGTGTGTGAATGTGTGTGTGTGTGTGTGTGTGTGTGTGTGTGTGTGGTAGGGAGTAGAATATATACCTGCTTGTCTATTTCTGTTGCTGGGTTTGTTCCAATGTGTTACTTCACCTGTATGAAGAGATCAGAGCAATAGTCTATTTGTTGACATTGAGCAATATACTTTTGTGTGTGTGTGTGTGTGTGTGTGTGTGTGTGTGTGTTTGTGTGTGTGTGAAGGAGAAGGAGGAGGGGATCTCAGACAGGTGCTTTAAGAGAACCCCTTTGACTCATACTCTCTTCTCTAATTAAGTTTAGGCTCTTTCTGTGCATATGTACGTGTGTGTGTGCATGTGTGTTCTTGTGTATCCATGGGAAAGGTTTGCCTTTTCCATTCCCTCACCCTTTGATTATCTTTTTGTTTTTTCATTCATCTTAAAGCCCATTTAGTTTACACAGGCTTGATCCAATCTCTTCAAAGCATCCATTCACTGGTTTTATCAAACTCAGTGCAATAAATTATGACATTTACAAATACAATGGTTCTGTTTTTTGCAGAATTTTTGGAACCGAGAGTGATATATTAATAACAGTCTCCACTAAAATTCTGTATAATATTTGTAATGATAACAATAAAACATTTGTTGTGTATGCATGGAGCAAAATGTTATAGCACATCCAGTTCATTACCCACTCCTAATGAGTGTATACAAAAAATACTATGTTAATTTTGCAGTAATATACACAGTATTCATTATATCAGAAGTAAACAGCACTGGACCAGGTCTGATCAAAGAGGTCAATGCTGTACCAAAGCTAAAAGTGTTTATGTTGTGGCTGCATGTATGACTGATCAGCATATTTGTTAATGAAAGTGTTTTACCAAAATATTGTCAGATAAAAATGGAAATAAAAGGAAAATGATATGCTCACAGAGAAAATCAGGTATACCCACACAGCCTGCATGTCAAGTGTAAATAAACCTTCATTATTCTTTACTATTTAACATTATTTAAAATTTACAGACTCATTCAACTGAAGTTTTTAGCTAAAGTCTAAATTGCAGGAGAATTATTTTAATTATCTCTTAACAACATTTTGTGGGATTTACAGTGGCGTACATGTTGCTATAAAACAGTGGTAGTTCAGGCTTAGTGTGCAAAAATATGCCTGCATTCGCCAGCTGGGAAGATGGTCTTTAGCCTGAGTGGGAGTTGTTGGCTGAAATGAAAGAAGAGCGAAAAGTATTTTAAGGATGAGACCGGTGTTAGTGAGATCTTTTTCTATTGTCACACACCACTACATTTAGCTGTTTCCTTAATGCCGTAGATTGATTTTCTGTCTGTTTCAATCCAACAGGTGAAATGTCATTGGTCCATTTTGATTTATATGGATACTTTCTGCAAAGGGTTTCGTTATCGGTGCTCAGCATCATATTGTTGGTTTATTTTTTTTATCAAAAATGTGATTTCAATTCTACTTAAATTTATCAAGGTTGCTCTGTCATGACCATTTGGATTTAAATTTTAAATTTCAATGCCCACTAATACCTAAACTGTCCCGAGACCATCAAAATAATTTTAACACTTTTTAACTTAACACAATAATATGTGCCCATTTCTCCTACAACTGAATGAATGAATTAACTCAGCAACCTAAATGAAACCTTTGATTAAAATTCATTTTTGTGGAGAAGTATTGTCCAACAAATTTAGTTTATCCATCCAAATGTACACTGTGCATTAGCCAGTTGAATCATGCCTGCCACCCACAAGCTATTTTCCACCTGCAGCCCACCTACATCAACAATAGTGAACCAGAGCCCAAGATAAACACAAATACAAACAGATACAACAGAGTGCACAAGGTGGACATGCTTCTCAGATTAGCGTTTATCCTCCCCTGGTGAAACCTGTTGTGTTTACCTGGAGCACACTACATCTGACACATTAGGGACACCATACTTAAACAATAGTAATGTTTTCCTCCACTCACTCGGAGACAATGCAAGATTTTGGTTTGGGGCTAAATAGGGCAGGTAAAGCAGTGCCCCTCACCTCCAGGTCAAGCTGGGCAATTCCAACTAAAAGCATCCAATTTACACCTAAAAGCTCCTGCAAGGCAATTCACTGTGTCTGAGGTATTAGTGCATGTTTTTCCAAGTTGTTTTCTGAGCATTGGTTGAAGTCCACAAAGCAGAATAACTGGTTTGAGGTCATTTGTGGCCATTCTTCATGCCAAACCATATTATCGATCAAAACTAATCAGATTCTTTGTTATTTGTTTGATTAGCATTTTAAATGTTCACTTTTCTTTCCCATTGCTAACACAATCCTGTAATCAGGGAGAGGGACAGAGAGATAGCAAGAGGAGAGGATCGGGTTTCTTAGCCGCTCTGTACCCTAATCCTGGATTTGGAAGCGGAATGAGAAGACAAACACGAGTAATAACAGCATTGACATGGGATTGGTAGGTGGGGTTGAGCAGCATGATAGGAAATAGGGGGCCTCATAGGTTGAGAGAGGGATGGTTAGTTGTAGGTGGGTGGGATATAAATACTTGCAGTAGACAAGAGCTGCAAAATGATGAGGGTATGACAGACACTGGCTTACCTGCATATATAATAGAAAAGAGACAGGGAGATACACTGTGGAGGCCTTAATGAGAGACATCTCTGTAGCTGAGAAACACCTTTGAGTAAATCTACCAATAACTTCAGCCTGAAGCTCATAGCTATTCATCTTCGAGAGTCTTGGGTGAGGTTCGAGTCACACCAGAATCTGTGAACAGCTCTGGCTGAAGTGCTGAGAAAAAAAAAAACTAACGTAGCGAAGTTTTCTGCCTGCATATCCCCATCAGACTTAAGTGAGAAATATGCTTGACTGAACGAGAGAAAAAGAAAAGACAAGAAGGCGATACAAGAAAACGATAAAGTAAGACAAGACTTAACAACTTACAAGAAAGGAAGGCAAGAGGACAAGACCAGAACAGACAAATGACAAGCAAAGCGACAATGGGACACAAGAGTAAATAAGGCAATAGTGGGAAAGCAAAGATAAGAAATCCTTTAAGGGACCATATCAAACTTCAGGGACCAGTCGAGTGCGAGAGGCCAGAGAAGAATGGCATGTCAGGCCTTCAGCGCTGACTCTTTCACCCCACTGGCAGGAGATTCAGCCCTGCCAATCCTCATGCACCACGCCTCAACCGGTGACTGCTTTCCGTCCACCTCCCATGCTCACAGCATGGTTTCTGCCGGTAAGCTGTGTTCTATTCCTGTTGTATTTTCCTCTTCTTGTGTGTGTTACCTTTAAATTGTTTGTTTACAAAATTGGCCTTGCACTGGTGTAAAGTCAGATGAGAACCAAAACTTACATTGTCTTAATGATATGAACCACAATGCACTTAATATTTTTAATGATCTTAACTCCCAGATGCAGGAACACACACCTATAAGCTGCTCCTGTACAAGTATAACTGACCCAGTTGTGCTTGGTCATCCTGCTGATCTGTTCTTATCAAGGCACAGTTGTGTTCTCAGCCAATGGGGAGGATGAATTGAACTGAAAAATGCATTTATTCCAATCCAGTCCAAATTATGTCAGTGTATCTACAGTAATCAGCCAGTTTGTCCCAGCTGCCTCTGCTCAGTGCATAATTGCTTGGAGGATATGTTATCAGTATGATAAACTCCCAAAGGTCTTTTTCTTGATGGAGCATTGTGGGAAAAATTTCCCGGGGGTTGTAGAGCCTGCTGATTGTTATTTCTTACAATAGACTTGGATTAAATAATGCAGAACATTAGTCATGCATTTCCCAACTCAGACAATACTGTACTGGTGGTATTTGCCACTCCAGATTGACCTATATTTGTTTTCCCCTGACCTCAAAAGTACAATAAATAAATTAATTAATAAATCAGCCTTCTCATAGGGAGCCGACTCTCTTTTCAAAATCATCATACAAGAAACAGAAAAACGCAGAAAGCGCCTGTACGTGAGTGTCAGGGGTGTCTTAGCAACAGCAGAACACCAGCATTAGTACTTGAACACCAAGCTGCATAAAATGATAAATTATTAAATAATTATATAATTAGCAGAAGACATGACCAGAACAATGTTTGACTATATTTAAATACTTTAACCGGGAATCAGTGTCATAATAAGTGTAATAATTTAAAACATCTCTGCCATCTCAAGTTTCATTATCCTGGCTTTAGAAGAAAACAGGTATGTTTATAAAAGGTGTGTGTGTGTGTGTGTGTGTGTGATATGTAAATAGTCACATCGCTCTCTGTTCTGTCTGCACTGGCATCAGACTATAACATAACATAATTGGTTGGTAAAAATTCATCATCTTTCTCTTTCTGTGTGATGTGATGGAGCAAAGCTAGCCAAAACTGTTTACATTATATGTCTGATCAGCCAAGTAAAAGGATATTTTTAACTGGATTTTCAATGGGAAGTTTCAGTGTGTGTGTGAGAACACGTGTGTTCATGGTGTTGGTGCAACAGTAATTCAGCAACACTTCTGCGCTGCACTATATGTATATATATATATATGTATACAATGTCATCAGCTCTAATTGAACATATGTTTCTCCATCAGTATCCTCTGGGTTGTCCCTGGGTCAGACCTCCAAGCGCTCCCACATGCACCTGTCCACCTCCTCCCTTGGCAACGCTCTTGGCAATAGCCCCCCAAACCTACATTACCCAGTCACCCCCTGTCACTACAGCAACCAGCAGGCCACCTATGGCATGATGGCAGGTGAGTGGAAGTGATGGTGGTGGACTAAACTAAAGCTGTGATAAATCTAGTAGTGCAACAATTACAGTACTTGGTTTGTTGGTTAGTTAATCAACAAAATCAATTACATGTACTAGGAAAAATGGCAAATATTCTTTGGTTGATGCTTTTTGAATGGTAAATGGAAGATGTTTAGAAATCCCTGTCATACCAAAGTATTTCTTTCTCTTTATCTATTCACAATACAATCAAAATGAAAATGTGACCTTGGGCTCTGGGATTTTTTTTTTTTCTGAGGTCTTATAGGTTAAATTATCATTCAATGAAAAATAATAAAAGTAAACAGATTGTTCAACAATTGAAATAATTACTACAGTTCCAATGTCCTTATTGATACTGATCAAAATGTTATTTAGTAGCAGCTGCGAAGCTGACTTTAATGGTGATGATAGGGTTAGGGTATTGATCTGATGACAGTATATTGTAGACAATATAGATTTATGCTTATGTTTGAGATGTGAATGATACTGAGGCTGATGTTTTTTCATTTTGGCCTGAGGCACAAATCTGATCATATCAGGTCATATTTATTAGTCAAGTGTATCAGCAGCGCAGTCAGATCTTGAGCATATTAAAATGTAGTTTCAAAATCCCCAGCCTGAGGTAGCCTGACTTACTAAATTATTCAATTTCAGTCATGTGTGGGCATTATCCGGACACAATCTGCATACTAAACTCTGTGTAATTTGTTTGACATGCAGGAAAGATAGCTTGAGACACAGTTCATAGAGTTCATATTCCTCTGTGGACACGTCAATATCCAATCTAGTGTTTCTGTTTACGATATAACAGCATTGCACTAACAATATGTTTGAAGTTTCGAGTATGATTATTGTACTGACAGTTACACTATATATTGTAATGACAGTTGTGATTAAGGTTTCTCTGTGTGTCTGTGTGTGTAGCTCAGGAGATGCTCTCTGCCAGTATCTCTCAGAGTAGAATCCTGCAAACCTGTGGCGTTCCTCACCCTAACATGGTGAGCGGTGCAAACCCACTGCAAGGTAATGATCAGACACACACTCTCCACATACACACACACACACAGTCACATGCACACACACACACACACATTACGCAGCCATTATGTTACAGTCACCTCAATTTATTGACTGGAAATTTGCACTAACCCTAACCTCACCCTAACCTGAAACCAACTTATCATCCTAAAATTCATGGATTTTCATGGTGGGGATCAGCTGGTCCACACATAATATGACTGTGTAACCACAATTCAGTTCCCACAGTGTGAGTAATACCAAGCACACACACACACACACACACACACACAGGCACTCCGAATCATTCTCTCTCCTGGCCTGCAGTTAAACCCAGTAAACTGAGCAGACGTTTTGTTTATTCTCCATTTAATTTTAAATATGCTGCCAGTTAATATCGAATTCAGACTTGATTACCTCGTCTAATGATTGAGCTCATTAGCGCACTTGTTAAATGTAACTGTCAAACATGATTTGCCACCTCCTCCCCCTCCTGCACAGAAAGCAGAAGTGTGAATATAGAAGTGTTTATATGAAAACTGTCAGGAGGAATGCTGTTGACGTTAAGAGACCTGTCCGTTTTCCATATCGCAAGCCAAACTCATGTCAGTCATCAGTTGTCAAGTGGTTAATAAAAATGTTTTTTAAGCTCCAAAATATATTGATCATGCCAAGCAGTTATTAAAATGTTCTCATTTAAAACTCATACTGATATTGTAGCATTCTGAAGTTTGTGCAGGAGCAATATTGTACAGTGGATTTATTTTCTTACAATACACTGATGATTCATGGCTGACAGCAGTAGGTGTTGACGTTGTACACCCAGCTCAGTGGAATGGAACTGTGAATCGGTCTAGCATGTATTGCTTTAAACAACTCTCCAGGACAAAGTCAATCAACAACACAGCATTTTGGCTTTTATTTTTGAACAGACATCTCACTATTCACTTAAAATTAATATGAGAAGAACATATTTAGGTATCTATTCTACAAACTGTTAACACTCTTTACTAACACAGAATCAGACAAGTGCCACACTACTATATGACACCGCTGTAGATTTTGCTTCCCAGACAAAAACACCCAGGCATGTCCAGCAAGTAGAATTTATCACACAGGATGTGACTATACAAGGTGTAGTGCTGTCTGATTCATATGAATAATTTAAATATAATGAAAAACTGAAGAAAGTGAAGACAAAAAAGAGAGAAGGAACATCTGGAGTAGGCAAAAAGAATCTAGCTTTAGATGCATTTATCAACTGGGAGCAAATACTGTACAGCCCAAGAAGAATATGACTGAAAGTGTAACCCTGGGGGGCACAGAACAATTAACATTTGCAGAGAAAATGAAATTACGTCTTTCAACAGATGGGGCTGTTAAAAAGTCCACTTGAGAGTCGCCATCGACCCACTCCTGTAAATGGTCTAATAAAATTGTATGGTCTGCAATGTCAGAGGCTGTGCTGAAATACATTAGGATTAAAATTAAACAGGTGCTCACATTTACTACCATCAAGAGGTCATTTGTTACTTTAATGAAGTTTCTGTGCTGTCAAGGGGACTGAAAGTGTAACAAATATCAATGACAGTCGACCTGTGTGAGAAATTAGAAAGAAGGGGAAAAGCCACGTGGGAACAGTTGTCAACCACATCACTCAGCACAAGGATTCAGTGAAGAAGATACAACGTTGTTATTGTGAGAGCTGAGGTCCTTTCAAAAAAGCAGCACTACTCTATTTTTGTATTAACAATGGATCAATAACATAAGTATATAGTGAGCAGTGTCACTCTGCAGTTCCTCTATATTAAACGTTTTTTCCTTTTCAAATTACAACCAAAAATGACAGATGTAACAATACTTCATTTCGCAATAGTATATCTGCGTGGAAACTGACAGCAGATGTTCCAGCGTGGCCTTTTACCGCTGCTGTGTGGCAGCACTTCAGTTTTCATGTTTCAACAAATGACACGGGTTCAAAACATTGAACCACTTGTAAATACTGCTGGATTAAGGCAATGCTAGTCTGTTTAGGAAGCTTTAAGATGTTTATTAAGAAAAATATTAATGCTGCTTCATTTACAGTGTCAAGTCAGCATGTTTGTCAGTTTGTGTTCTTGCTATCTTTGCTCAGCATAATGCTGCTGATGCTGCTGCACTCCTTGGGAGGTGCACATGCAGCAGCAGGAGGGTCCATTTCCATGTACACAAAGGCTTGTGAGGCGCTTTCATAAACCAGCTGAGGGCTTCCTTCCTTAGCTGTCATGCACTAGTATGTACTGTTCACTCCCCAGGGAATGTTCATGCAAGTACAGACGAGACAAAGCGTTCTCTCTTTCTCCAGCATGGTGAAGAAGACAAGATGCCAGGACTTAGAGAAACCGTTGCTGTTCTCAGAGGGTTTGCCCTAAATTCCTTCTCACCAACAAATACGGTGCAGACTTTCCACAAGGTGCCCGCAGAAGTATCTTAACTGACAGCAGTTTAAAGAGATTGATTTGATTTGATTTATTCTTTCAAGCATGTAAAGACAGTTGATATGACAACACACATGATTGTACACATAATCCAATATCAATTTGCTTATACCTAGTACATGCTTGAATGGAGTAGGAAGAAGTCAGACTTATCCAGTCCTACCCCATGACATCATCTTACCATCATTGGTTTGCAAGTCGTAAATGTACATAAATAATTCTCTTCTACACCACACAAGTAATATACTAAAAAAATTATAACAGAGTGTTAACATTCTTACATAATTACATTCTTAAATAATTATCTTCTACACCACACAAGTAATATACTAAAGAATTAATACAAGGTGTTAACATTCATACACCACACCCACAATGTTCCATCTAATTAATCATTAAGCCT